CACACAAGTTAGTCGTGTGAATGCTATATTTTCTTGTTGGCTTCAGAAAATGTTTCAAAGCATTCTTCGTTATGAACACTGAAGATATATCGTCATTAATATTTCATCACTGACTTTATTTTTTTTCTAAATATTTCATATTTTCTCATCTATTTCGTTGCTAGATGGTGTTGTGAGAGAAATGATCTGATGGACAATAGTGTATTAGCATCACTTGCAGTATATAAACAACAACGTCGAAGACGTTTAATTAAAAAAAAGCATAAACGACGTCATTTATTAAATATTCGACGAATTCTTCTAGATACAACATATCCTAATCTGTTTATTAGGTCTTTTCACAATGAAGATATACCCGTTGATGATAATTTAAAATTGACATCATCGTCTGCCTTTATTACTGAAGAACAGAATGAACATTCATCTGATGGTACACTTGATTTGTGTGCTAATGAAGAATCACGTGATGATGTAAGTAAACGGAAAGTTGATGAAAAACTATATTACGATTTAGATGAACTAATTATTGATGAAAAGCATCTGATGTATTAAATGAATCTTTTTATCTGGCTACTTCAACTTTTCCTGAATCTGATTTAATTTTGCACGACTGAACTAATGTGACAACGAATGAATACTGTAGAAATCTTCTTACTTTATTTCGTGATGCAAAAATTTCCAAAACACATTGTGATAGATTTATTCGTCTTATTCAATGTGGTTTATCAATACCAAACAACATGCCAACATCGATGAAAAATCTTTTAGAAGAGATGCAAGGTAAGATTAAATTCAAATTATTTTTACTTGCAAGATTTTCAGAAGAAGCCATTATTTTTTATTTTTTACAATAAATGTCTATCGTCATATTTTTCTTCTACCGAAAGTTGAAACGTAATAACCAAATGCTGAAAAATAAATACAAGCAGATGCACCAAGCTGTTTTTCAGAAACTTTAAAACTCTTCAAAATAATCTAGCATAAGGAAAAAAGAAAATTATGAGGAATAAGTTTTAATTCATGCATGACTTTTCCACCAAGTTCTTGTTTTAAGATATTTATCGATTCAATTTTTCTAACAGAGAACTATTTTAATCCGATCAAATGCTTTCTATTAAGAATAATAGTAGTTTAATTTTTTTGCGAGGTCTATTTTGAAACTTATTTTTCAAAACTAAAATATGAATCAACGCTATGTTGAAGGATAAGAAATCGAGTTGCAAAATCATTTTTCTTAAGTATCGGAGAATATCTTTGGAATTTATGGAAAACAAATCAAACTAATTCACAGAAATTAAAGCTATCATTTTTTTCTAATTGAAAAATTATTTTTGAAAAGATCAATTTGTACAAACTGCAATCAAGATCTTAATCATCATAATGGCAACGTTAAATGTAATTTAAAAGAAGAAAAATTCCATGCTGATATTTATGACATCGATGTTGATATAATATTTTATCAATTGATTGATCGACTATGGCCTGAGATTATCGAATACAAACAACAACTTGCATCAAATTCGTCGAATGAATATAATGATATTCCACTGAATGCTTTATATCGAAATATGATAAGTCGTCTTGCTTATAGTGTAGATTTTGTTAGTCTTATTCTTCATGTTGATGGTGTTTCTCTTTGCAAATCTTCAAAACTGACCATATGGTTACTAAGTGGTATATTTATTGAACTACCAACTCATTTACAATATAGACGTCATGGTATGAGTTATTGTCTATATGGGTTGGTTATAGCGAACCAACACCTAGTACTTGGTTATCTTCATGTTTTCGTCGTTTAAATCGATTAAACAAAGAAGTTAAGAATTTTTTATTTCAATTTATACTAGAGAGCGCTAAAAACATTCTAAATACAGAATTATTTAGTAATATTGGTATACATGTATATAAAACAAATCTATTATAAAAAAAGTTTCAACATTCGTTTATGTTTGGAAACTGTTTATATTATTTATAACAAAATGAAGATTTGGATGAATGATAAAAAAATGAGAGTAGTTTCTAAAAATAACAACATTTTTACAACCATTTATCAATAGTGAGAGCTTTTCTAGAAAATTAATAATCGATATACATTAAGATCACAAAACAAGAGAAGGGATGTAATGCATTTTTTTCTTAGAAAAACGTATCATTTTATAAAAAATTCCTTTTTTGAAATATCTAGTAATTTGATATAAGGAAAATAATTTTGTTTTGTTTTTTTCTTTCAGGTGTGTCTCTGAGAAATGGCAAAAAATGTCAAGTGTTTTTTTATAGTGTGGTTGGTGATTGCCCAGCTTTAAAGATCGCATTAGAATTCATTGGACACACAGGATATTACTGTTGCTTTTTTTGTTACATTGAAGGTGAACACATTGGAGACCGTAGCGGTAAAAGACAATATTATAATGAAGATTATTTCGGCTTCGAGATGAACGACATTATGAATTAGAAGCAATTAAAGCTGTTGGGTGTGGGTGTGGGTGTGGGTGTGTGGGTGTGTGGGTGTGAGTGTGGGTGTGGGTGTAGGTGCGGGTGTGCATGTAGGTGTGGGTGTTGGTGTGGGTGTGGATGTGGATGTCTGTGTGGGTGTAGGAGTTTCAGTAAATACTCACACTCATCCATATGCAAACCTATACCCACCCACACACACCCACACCTACATCCACCCCCAACCCCCCACCACCCCCACCCACACCAACACCCGCACCCACACGCATACTCACTCACACCCACACCTACACCCATACCCAAACCCTGAAGTCGTTCGTTTTTCCTATGAAGATTTGTACAGTCTTCACTTTATTTGAGAAAATATGTTTTCTCTTTCGTATCATGTTAAAAAGTCCAAGATTAAATCATTCACACGTGAGATAGTCAAAAAAACTAAGCAAAACATATACGTACAGATTTCCTAATATAAAAGAAGGAAAGTGACGATCTTCTTCGAATAGTTGAGTTTAAAAACG